TTCGAAAGGTTTAAATGAGGTTCGTTTTCTTATTATGTGGGACGTTCTTAGAAGTTTTGAAGCGTGTACTGAATGCATTAGTTTTAATCCGTTTAAAGTGTTTCTTGAAATGTGTTCCCACGGAAACAATACAATACAAAGTGTGTTTATTTTAAGGCACCTTATTTTTCAATGTACACAGACCATGCTATTTACTCGTCTTAAAGTATTGGCTTTTATTCTTTGCAACTAAATATTTTTCGTTTAAATTTAATTTCCCACAGCTGGCCTTATTTATCTTTTCACATAAGAGAAAGTGTTTAAAAAATATGTTTTTTTAATGTATATATATGTGTTACTTAGCAGCAGTTTCGCTACTCAATTATACTATAATTATATATAAGTGACTAAATTATAGTTATAAGTAAATGTTTTCGAACCAACTATCAAAATTCCTATCCGGCATTCGAACCCGGGACCACGTGATATGCCATTGCAGATCTATTTAGTACACTTACTAATTTGACAAACGAGCCCTTTTGTGTTTAGCTTTTAACGTTTTTTTAACTATTTGTTTAAACAAAAATTTACTATAATAAACACGTACGGACATTTTCTTATTTTACTTAGTAGCTTGGGCTTACAAAGACTTAAAAATAAATTGAATTAAATAAGTATAACCGTAAACAGCGTTATAAGATTAAACCAACGCTTACAAAAAAAAAAAACAGAAGGGGCGTGTGAGAACGTGTGTACACGAGCAATGATTAGATTTCATTAAAGCGAAAATATAAATTAAATACTCTCTATAAAAGTTAATTTTGTTACGACTTCACAGAACCGCAATGTGTTTGCTCACAGATCGTATTGTCCTTAATGACTTTGTTACTTGGTCGGATAATAGTCTTAGAGAAGTTCAGAGACATTATTACCTCATTATTGCTTTTAGGTGAACTGTGGCACTAAGCGGCTTTGCGCCTGATGACAAATATAACGCAATTAAAAAACTGGTTGTTTACTGGTGTATGGCTTTAACTTAGGGTTTTAAAAACTGGTCGAAATTTGTATGATATACCAAATAACTTAATGTAATTTCTTAGTGAAAAGGGATATATTCAGATCCTTAAATTCCTTAAAATTGTTAATTTGTACGGGCTGGTTCTTCCGGTCTGGCCTAAGGTTCATCCAGCCCATACAAAGATCCTAGTCTTGTTTATTTTAATATTATTTAATTTATTTAATTAAGTTTATCGCACGTTGTAACTATAGCGGTCGTTAATGACCTTGCTATTATAAACGAACTACATTAATAAATTTAAACTAAATACAATCTATATTACCTTAACTGTAAAGTACTTAAAAAACTAAAAAAAATGCCAACCGATGACCAAATTGAGCGAAACTCAAGCATTTTTTTTATGACAGAGAAAGATACACATGTCTATAGTTTACGTGGGTAGTACCCATTTAAATAAAACACTATAACGGTTTAAAACGCGATATATTAGTTAAACTTTTTTGGACATTATTTTTAACTTCGTCCCGAAAAAATAATTCTCAAATAAGTTGAACTAATATATCGCGTTTTAAACCGTTATAGTGTTTTATTTAAATAAGATACACGTGTTTATCACTTGGTAGAAAACGAAATACCCCAACCATTTAATATCGAATCAAGATATGTTGACGTCCTATTTACTTTGGGCTTTCAGAATCTACAAATTGAAATCAATTCGCGAATAAACTTTACGGCTTCTTCATCTTTAGACGGTGGTTTTTAATCAGGAAGAATTTAAATTCCTACAATCCATTTTATATCCATATTTTCCAAAAGAAGTTTATGCTTCAATGGTAGCAAAGTATGTATCAAAACCTTAAGAATGTAAGAACCGAAATCTGAACAAAACTTGGAATCTTGATTAGATATTAGAGCTGGCTATTAGTAAAGAAAACCCATTCTAAGCTAGTCCAACGGCAATTATGATTTCCAAAATAAATGAATCTAACAAAACAAGTACAATGGGACGTGTTTAGACACATACAAATATTTGTAGGTTTGTCGAAACGCAACAGCTTCACCGACAAATATAATTCCAAATAACAAAATTGAAAATCTATTCAGAAGTCATACATTGATACTATTACAGAAGTCTTTTGAAAGTGGAGCTAAATGTGCCGCTTTTACAGACCGAATAGAAATGGCGAATGAAAGCGATGCAGTTGAGAAACACGGGTGCAAAACAGCTGATCAATAGGCGGAACTTGCAAATGGACGGGGATTTGCTCAAAATAAACATGAAATGTGCCACGCTATTGCCGGTATAAATGCATTCAATGATCAAAGGGAGCCATGGGGTCACGAGAGTCGCACTCTCGAAGGGGCTAGTAGAGTTATTTTTTAAATGTACTTTATATTATTTGGTAGATGTTTATTTTTTTTTAAAACAGATACATATCTGCTGAAATATATCAATGAAAATCCAACATTTAAATTAACGCTAAACGCTAATTTTGTGAAAGAACCCTCCAATATGGCTAGTGACGTCACAACCTTATATTGGCCATAGTTGTATGACGATCATATGATCTACAAATTTCATGCCTTTGTACAAAACGTTTACTTTTCAACATTGATTGAAGCTATAAGACGAGTAACAAATGTATTTATTCATTATAGCAGGGAATAGAACAGTTTAACACTAAGAAGCAGGTGGCTTATATAGCACTGTTTTACCATTTTTAAACTTATACTTAACATGCTATAAAAGTATTTGGCGCAATATTTTTCGCATTGGTTAGCCCATTTCCATTTTAAAATTTGACTAGCAGTGGCCATTGTTAGTATGCAATTTTAAATGCATCACTGTGTTGATTGCTTTGTTTTTTATGTAAAGTAGCAATACATTTTACAAAGATAAAGCCGGTCTGCAGAATGACAAATGAGCTATTCTGTGCCCCTAGAAAATCCCAGGGGGCTTGGTAAAACCCTTGTACGACAATCTTACCAGCAAAAAGGCATACTTTTACTGCAGCGAGGCAAACAAAATGTCTGCATTAAAGCCTGCATAATAAGATAGTATATTGTATAGATAGTATAAATGTAATTGGGGTGGTATTGTGTGCAAACGGCGCCTGACACAAACGTCAGTTTTAATTCATTTAATTAATCTTTAAGAATGTCACGCGCAGAAAGGAACTTAATACCATAAAATTTATAGTGTTGAGAAACTGTAAAATAAGAACGCATTTAATTAAAATCACTTAAAGGTTTAAAAGGCGAAATCTGTTAGTTAACTTAGTTTTAATAAATTACCCTATTATCAAATTTAAATATGCTATGGCAACGACGAAATAGATGGCGCTAGTGTAGCAGATTTTACTATATTATAAGTCCCCCGTGAACAAGGCTGCTAAAAAGCTTCCAAAATGTCGGACCGTAGTTAAAATTAAATTTAAAATTAGTAGACTAATACAATTCGCGTTATAAACCGTTAAAATGTTTTATTTCAATGTGTACTACTCATGTAAACTACAGACAATACTTAAAACGCATTATATCACAAATTATAAATAACGAGACTGCGTTGAGTCTGGTAGACCTTTTTGTTAAAATTTCCGCTACCTTACATTTTTAATACCCCGTCCGATTACAATATTAATTGGTATACCTCTTCATAGCATTATCCAGTAATCCAATTTTATATTCAGTGTTTTATCTGTGGGTATACTGCATTGCTAAAATATTTAAAAGTTCCTGTACCGGCTTCCGAGGCCAACCGGTCACGTTTATAACATTGGTTAATATAGATCGGTTAGCAATTATTACTTAGGAATGGTTTAATTTGATTGACCGCATGATTTATCTTATTGGCATTATATATATACATACAAATATATGTATGTATTTGTAATAGATCTGAACAATTACTTACGGGACATTGGGGGCTGTCAGCTTACTTAGATAAGTTTAAATGTAAGGAGAGCCCGACTAGCCCCTATGATAAACACATGAAACAGTGGAACAAATTCTACCAGAATGTCCCATGGGTATGACGGCTAGGTTAAACCATACAAATGGAAAATTACACAGAGGTCGAGGCCCGTAAAGAAAATTACAATATAACACCTTAAATAATCGTAATGATCGAAAGAGGTTCTGTATTTTTTTTTAATTACTCTAACAGCATTTATATAGCTTTTTATATAAAAGCTATCTGTATTTTACTAGAGTAGTACACATTTAAATAAAATAACTTTAATCAGTTTATAACGCAAAATGTATAACTAAAGCCCGACGTTTCCGATGCTTTGAGTAGCTTTGGCCACAGGGAGATTTGTAAATAAGTTTGACTAAACACATTTTAAACCGTGCAATGGGTTTTATTTAAATAGCTTTCTATTTGTAGCTCTTAAGATGTTTTATGGCTTATGGTGTAACGACCTTCTCCGTGATAAGTATGAAAAGTCCTGAGTTCGAACCCTGGTCTTATAGTTTTCGGTTAGGCTGGTCACAGAAGTCTAATCGTCACAATTTCTCACAAATAAGTAATGCTATTTTAAACGTATCTAAAGAATTAGAATATCGATATAGAATCGAATAGAAATAATAGAAGAGAACTAGAACTAGAAGTGGGAGGGTTAATAATTCCCATTTATACGAGGATGCGCCACCTAATAAACACTTCAACCCTGTATAGAGATCGAATTGATGAGATCGTTAAATCACTGGACCCTTACAGAGAAAACTTGTAAGGACCGCGGTCTGGGTTTAACTTACTTCAGTTGCTGTCACATTCATCTTGGTTTCTGAATGTTGAATAACTAATTTGACACATCTTGTCTCCGTATAAATTATAACTAACATGTCTCCTTGCCTTGCTTATTTCAGTTATTGAATAAAACTTTTAGTAAAGTAAGAATTTTTTATCAATAAATAGATCTATTACAAAATAATACTTATAAATTAACAAATAACATATTAAAGTAATCAGTTCTTTTAACAACGTGCTAGATAACGTTTGTTATAATAACTGATGGTATTTATATGAAGGTATTTTTATATAGTTGAAGTTGATCCGTTTTGTTTGGACAATTTCTCGGTAGTTAAGCGCGGATAGCTTTGGTGTCCGCGTCTTGTCTGGACTCTTGAAATCCACGTGGAAGAGACCAAATTTTACCCTAGAAGAAGAAAACTATAAAACAATGTTCTGTTTAGCATAAGTAATTACAGATAGTAAGGAATCATATATTTGTGACTTAGAAAAATTTAGTTCTACATATTATGGTGCAGGGTACATTTCAATTCAATTGTTTGCGAAGTTTTTGCTATTATTTTTAACATTCTTGTAACAGTCCCCACAGTAGAGACTGGGGTTCCCACAACTGGGACTGGGACTGGGAAGTGGTATACTTACGTAGGATTCCCAACTATATCTATTATCTATCATCATCTATCTACCTTTACGTTGCTGGCTTTGTATATTTTGTTTGTTTGTCTTGCTCTTTTCTTTTACAATATTTAAAAGCATGGTTAGGTGAAAGCGTAACAATCGAACTGCCGACCTTACTTACGTATGGGCTTTGCAGACGAGTATAATACAGTTCTAATTAAATTAATTGTAATTGTAAACGAATTGTTTACTTTAACTAAATGCACTCCGAAAATAGCATTCAACATTTAAATAAGATTAAATTGTTTGTTTTACGCAGATAATATTTCATGCGCAGTTAATCTTTGCATTATAATCTAAAGATAACCAATGCTCTTTTATTAGGTCAATTTCACGATTACAAAAAATAAATATTTTGCATACGAGATAAAAAAAAAAATTGTTACCGTTCTTTTAGCTATAATTGCGTTCATTTTTAAGGAACTATGAGAAGAGATATAAATAGTATATTTAAAAAAAATATATATCATTTGGACACTTTTAACGGCTTAAACGTTAAATGTATTACGTAATACATTTTAAATATGACCGTGATGTACGTCAATTTTTTTTTATTAAGAACGTACGTACTTCTCACTTAAAATACAGACCAAACTTATTATTTGACTATTGTAGTTATAGTTATTGAAATAAATCACTTTTAACGGTTAAAAATGCAAAACCAATTTTAATACGGCCGTTTTTTAAGGTTATTATAATTATTATTTGACTTATTTTGAATTAAGTATTGTCCGTAGTTATTAACACATTTAAATAAAACACGTAATGTTTCATATTGTAAAATAGAATAAAATGGAATAGTTATATATATTTTACTTACGACCCGACATTTTGGAGGCATTTCAGTACTAGTAATCACGGAGGGCCTATTCATTTGATCGGGATAGTAATTTTGATTTGATCATTTGGGTCTGTGACACAAAGATTAAGTAAAATTAAATACTTACGCGTAACCATCTGTCCATTCGAAGTCATCCATTAGAGTCCATGCGAAATAACCAGCAACATGGCAACCATCTTCGTGGATAGCCAGAAGAAGTTGCTCTAAGTATCTGTTGTAGTAGGAAACACGTTCGTAATCGTTGAGACCACCAAAGTCTGACATTCCGTTTTCAGTGACGATGATAGGAACTTTGGTTCCATAGTTTTTGGTTATCCAATTCAATAGCTTCCGAAAACCTTGTGGGTAAACCTGGGAAACAATAAGTTAGCCATTAAATTAACGCTAATAATTAACGGATCGTTCATACTACCGGGTCCACGTGTTTCTAAAATATATTTATAATTTTTCTGAAGCACGTTAGACTTCGTCTAGAAAATTTGTGGTACAGATAAGTCGCCAGTGCACCTTAAATAAATGTTAAATAATCGGGGTGTTTTATTTGGGGGTACAGCTTAAGTGAACCACATGCTTACTGTCATCTAGATAAATATTCTATTTCAGATGAAATAAATTTACGACGGTGGCGCTACTTTAACCGGCATCCACACCGTTTCAATCATTTTTTGTCTAAATATATTTTTAATATATGCAATGTCATAATATGAAAAATAAATACATGTGAAAAATTATTCATGCATTTATTATGTACATACTTATACATAGTTTCACAGATATTTTAATAATTTTAACTAGGTTTCGTTTTTATATTCACACTAGCTGTGTCAGTGACTTCGTCTGTGTAGAAAAGTTATTGGGCATCCAAATATGTTTTTGCAAACCTCTACATCTTTATAAGCTGCTCACGACATCGGTTCGGTCCCATCGTTCTTGCAAGTTAATTTTAAAAGACATATAGTGGCGCGGACATTTTTTAAAGATCATTTAAAGAATAATCATTATTTCATATACATTTTTGGTGTCTTGTACCATTTTCTCAGCGTACGTATCTGAATCCCACAGAGATGCAGAATTTCCTCCGTTTTGTTCACATTTACCGCTGTATCTTCGCTTCTATTAGTCACAGCGCAATGATTTATAGCCTTCATAGTTCCTGAGATTAGCGCGTTCAAATAAACAAACAAACTCTTCACCTTTATATATTAGTATAGATTAAGTTTTCATTAATTTTGGTCTGCCTAACTGCGTATTCTGATTGTGTTACGCGCTAAAGGAATAAGGTTTGAAGTCCGGATATGGCACAAATTTCTAGTTAGGAACAAACTAAAACATTTTTTTGACAGAAAGGGATAACGAGATTTTACACATTTTTAAATTAGGAACGTATATATTTAAACTTTGGTTATAAATAAGTACAATTATACAAAAGATATCTTATTTTATTCTTAGTCTCGGATTCCTCCTAACATTTCCGTCAGGGGATTGGACTAAAACAATTCGAGGCCATTTTAGGTGACCCGAACGTTTGCACAATTACATTTGAATAGTTAACTAGAACTTAGCACTAAAACTGTAACAGAGGTAGACAGCTTTGAAGTGGCGAGGGACAATTTTTCTAAAGGTTTAAAGGTTTTTACCATGATGTTTTAGGATATGTACCTAGATTAGTAAGAACACGTAAATAGGCTATGAAGTAAGTATATATGACATAGACTGAGGTTATTAGATTTGATATTATATAGAACGATAAATAATTTCCATAAAACAACAGAATACGGATTTTATCAAAATTATTTGTCTTTTTAAAACCCGCTTATTATATAGTACGAATAACTTTTTTATGATAGAGCAGGATAGACAACTTGGGGTTTACTCGATCGTGGGTGTATTACCCCCGCCATATAACAATCCTTCGACCTATTTCGGCTTTGGATATTCGGACTCATATAATATGTTTTTATCGTCCCATTGTCCACTCATAATTAGATCGACTTTTCAACAACCGTCATCTAAACTAATATTATAAAGCAGAATTGTTCGTTTGAACAACTGGTTCGAAATAAAAAAAATTGTTGGTTGGATCATTGGTTGAGGAAGGTTTTAAGTAATGAAACATCATGCTGCTACTAATAGGAGCGAAAAAACAGTGGGCAATGTGGAAAAAAAAGGCAAAAATTATACATCTTTGAAGGTTTCCGTTGCGTGGACTGCGAAATAAATACCAAAAAAATATGTACGAAAGAATTATTCCTCTATAAATAATCTATAAAAATGTCCGCGACAGTATATGTGTATCTTTAAATAAACTTCTAAGAACCATTTTTAGAGTAATCAAATTTTGGTCAAAATCTATACTAATATATAAAGCTGAAGAGTTTGTTTGTTTGAACGCGCTAATCTCAGGAATTACGGGTTCGAATTGAAAAAATATTTTTGTGTTTGTTAGAACATTTATCGAGGAAGGCTATAAAACATCGTCTTGTGATTAATAGGAGTGAAGATAGAGCGGGAAATGTGAGAAAAATTGGGAAAATTATTCATCATTATGGGTTTCCGAGGCGTACTCTGCAAACACGGTACAAGATACCCAAAAAAAATGTATTATAGAATGATTCCTCTTGAATTAAAAAAAAACCGCGACGCTATATGTCTATCTGTTAAGACTATCCCGCAAGAACGACGGGAAGTGACGCGACCGACGTCGTACAAAATAATTATTCCATGTGGACGAAATCGCGAACATACCAGCAGTACTTCATATACCAAAAAATAACCTTTGCTAGGTCAGCTCATAACTAATAAACAACTTACCGCTAACCACGAAGCACCAGGTATTGGCCATTTTGGATGTTGTTCCATCTTGACCCCCGTGTCCTGATCTATGGATGGCACAGACCATTCCTTCTCCATTGTACTCGAAGACACCAGAAACGTTGTGTAGTGGTTCAATCCGAAGAAATCGGAACTTCCTCGTATCATTTCTACCTAGTGATAAAAGCAAATATTTAACGATAGTTAAATCAACCATGATAGGAATAAAGACTAATGCTTTTCTTAAAAAAGTTCTAGAACATGTTTAAGATTTTTTAATTAAAAACCTTAAATATTTTTCACATGTTAGTGCACACGATGGCACAATATGATTTAAAAAAATCGATAATAAATAAAATAAGAAAATTTCGACTCGGGCAGGATTTAACAAAAATTTCGTCGATTTTTCCAATTTCTTTTATATTCTAATATTTTGTATACTATGATCAGTCTTGCATTTGGCAACAATGTATAGATATGACTTAATTATAAGCAAAGATAATTACCAAATTACACGTTTAACTGTTCATTACTGTGATATCAAAACAATTGAAATTTTATTGTTTAGATATCCTTGAATTTAATTATTTAATATCGTAATCTAAACGCAAGCAAAATGTATTATTTAAAACTCGGTATGTATGGGAAATTATATTTTGGTGAAATTGAGAAATTAACAATGCTTTCAAGGCATCATAGCTCTATCTATATCATGTGTATGAAAAAATATACTTTATGAATAGTAGGTACTTCAGCAATAAATACGACATAGCTTAGCCATGTTACAAATAACATGTTGTTTTAATTGCGTTGTAATCAAAATTACAACGCAATGAATACAACAATTAATCGATATTACGTGAACAATGGTTATTGAAACAATCACGTACAAATGACTTTTGCAACTTCTTGATTCCTGTTATGCAGCGCGACCTTGTCTTTTATTTTAATGTGAATCTTATACATCTGCCGTTTTTTTTAATTATTACAATATAATATAAACTATCAAAAAGATTGTAATCGACTGATTGCTAAACCTTACGCTTAATTTTTTTAATGAACTTTGAAAAAATCTTTTCGTGCTGGTTAGAGCATTTGTCGTGGAGAGTTATAGGCTGGCGTTGTGACTAATAGGAGCGAAGAAACAGCAGGGAAAAATCTGGAAAAATTATTCATCTCTGTGGGTTTCCAATGCGTACGCTACGCTGCACAACGGTTCGAGACCTCTAAAATAATGAATCCTTCTTAAATGATCTAAAAAAATTCCGACGACAATCTTATAACATTAACTTGCAAGAACGAATGGACGATCGATGTTGTGGATAACGGCTTAAATTTACAAAATATGAAGAGAAGGGTCGCAAAAAGATTGGACGCCCAAAACAACTATTCTACGCGGACGAAGTCGCTGGCATAGCTTGTATAATCAAATTAAAAAAAAAACACAGCACCAGGACAGGTGGTGTGTTACAGATACGAACAATACAATAAAATAAGTAAATATATATCATGATCAATCACTATTTTTGACTATTCACCCGTACATTACATTATCTCGTTGATTTATTATCAAATGGCAACACGACGATAATTCAAGGATGTGTTTTATTGAATGTATCGAATTAAAGATCTAAGCACATTTATTAATGGAATTTGAATAATGCATTTACATAAGAACCATAGTTCAATCAGATAGATGTATTTTATATTATTCTTCTATATAATTGTTATTACCAAAAAGTGATTGTTCAGAATAAGGTTGCAAGTGTTTTTGGATTGGCGTAGTATCAGTATTAGATTTTTTATATTATACGCGTTAAACAATTTTTAAAATTAAACTATAAGAACTAAAAATAAATAATCTCTATACGTATAACCTTTTAATCATAACACTTGCAAGATTAAATTACTATGTATTTAAAGAATTGACACGTGGTGGTTTAAAAAATACTCTTAGTTCATATATTTATAATAAAAGAGGGAATTTCGTATGATAAAATCTTTTCAGAGGAGATCATCTGTAATAGATCTTAAATATTTTCAGAAGATTTCAGCGGTCTAAGTCGTACCCGATCAGCGTTCTGAGAATATATTTCGATTCAAATTTATGGTTGAAAACCTCTTCGGCGCTTCACTGACCGTTCACATTTGTATTTATATATCTCCACTTGTATTTGTGCGCAAAATTACATAATAATACGCGAAAAATACCTTTGTGTAAGTCAAGATCAAGGTTGAAAGCTAAAGGAGAATGGAACAACAACGCTAAGTCGTTGAACTAATGTAACATTTAGTTTACAGTATTTAAATAAATGAGATTTTATTTTGATAAAACATAACTTCAAGTCATGCTCAATATTCCAAGAAAAAATATTGCGTTGTGATCTCTTTTTTAACCGACTGACAATTTGTAGTATGAAGAATTAATGTAATATTCATTTGTTTTTTATAAAATAAAGTATACTGTAGTGTCATTTAGTATTAAAGAAGTTTTTAAATTTTTCTAAAATGTAACAGTTCAATAGTATTGATAACAGATTTAACACTGGCTATAGTTTTGTAGTACCTACTCATTTAATTAAAACACTTTAACGCTTTAAAACGCGATATAAATTAGTCAAACTTATTAGAAAATTATTTTAACTACGGCCCGACATTTCGGATGCTTGGTGAAGCTATTTTCAAATGCGTAAACTAATATACGTCGCGTTTTAAACCGTTAAAAGATTTGATTTAAACGGAATTAGGTTTTAAAACACCGAGGTCTTTGTAACAGTAATTTTTTTAATACTTTTAATTTCGCGTACGTTATTTCTATGTTTACAAGTGCAGGATATTAGTAAAATCGTTTGTTCTGTGCTTATATCAGGTTAAAAGGAAAACAGTCAAAACGGTTCTAAAATCAATTGTCAAGATTCAAGTTACTTATACAAAACTCACTTCTTTCTTGGTGAAAACTGGTAATCTAGATCTCGCGAAACCTTGACTGATACTCATGTTGTCCACTCTTTCACGCACGAAATCTGGATAGTCGCCCTTTTCAGAATAGATGGGATGTGCGTATTGGCCCAACTAAACATGAAAGTATACTTTAAAATTCGTAGACAATTTTACGACAAAAATAAATAATATAGAGAAAAACCAACCCTCATTTGAAGATACCGTTCTGCAGCCTCAACATCGTCGGGATTATTCTCATCTTTCGGTTCAGCAAAGAAGGAGTCCAGCGTTATGCCAATTCTACCTGAAAACAACGAAACATGAACAACACGTACACCACGTATTGTTGAAATATTTAAAGTTTGAGATACCTTTTTGGAAAGGCCTGAATTTTTTATCGTAAAGATGATACACCCGGGCGTGTCCCAGAAGCATGTAGTGGGAACATAAATATTCCGCGACTCCGTGCACCTTTATGGCTGGCACGAAGTAATCGTTACCGTATCCCTAGAAAACCACATTAAATATATGCGCGGGAAAACCTTCGCAGTAGCAGTAAACCTTCAAGGTACAATGACTCCACAGATTATGACGAGATAAACAAATGAAATGGCCAGCTGACAATGGTTAACTCAAACCTCCTTTATGAAATAAAACTATAAAAAAGATAAACTGAGAACATTAAATTTGAATTTAGAACAGAATTATTATTTATATTAACTCACGTGATAGCAATGAATGTGTATTTCGTTCATAGTGGTCCATATTTTAACGAGATCGCCGAATAAGCTGAACGCAACTTTGGCATAATCTTCAAAGTAATCCACCATTTTGGGATTAGTCCAGCCACCCAGGTCCATGAGGGGGGGTTGGCAAGTCCCAATGATATAGTGTCACAACTGGGGTTATGTTGGCTTTTATGAGTCCTTCAAATAACTTTCTATAGTATTTAACACCTTCTTTATTGATGTAGTTATCTGTTCCTTTTGGTAGAATTCTAAAAATATTACATTTTAGTTTTCTTTTTATCTTTCTTATTATTGAATTTATACAGTAAGAGGACTCTCAAATATACTCGTATTTAGTGCAGGCTGTGGAACGGCATTGCGGGTACAATTTAACAACTCCAATACTGACCTCTTATTGGTCAGTAAAGCTAGCAAAACCAATCAAATCAGAGCTCGCTAGTTTTTCGGATCGAAGTATTTTTACGGATTTGTTAACCAACTTTTTGTGAAAAAAATAAAATACAGAATAATTCCTAAACTTTATGCAAAGGTCGTAAAAATACACTATATCCTATGAGAAGCGCGAAACAGATTAATTCATTTATACCGTCTCTTAAAGATATTGTTTTTGGTATATAACACAACAAACTATAATCATACCGAATTATGATTTGATAATCTTCAAAAGTAACACAACCAATATTGTATTCTCAGATGAGATAAAAGGATAAATTTTAGAAAAAATTATATAGAAGTAAAATTGACATCGAATAAACTATTTTTCTCTAGACGTGTATTATTGTTAAACGAGTAAAATAGTAACGGATACTAAATACTGTCTCTAGTTTACGCGAGTAGTACACATTTAAATAAAACACTTTAACGGTTTAAAACGCGATATATTTTAGTTAAACCTGTTTAAAAATAATTTTCAAACAAGTTAAACTAAAATATATCGCCTTCTAAACCTTTAAAGTGTTTTATTAAAATTTGACAGATACTATTTTACCCTCTTAGCAAAAATAAAGAACCTATTATTATTATAGTATACACAATAAACAGCTTGTCACTTCATCTACAATTATTCAGTCCTGAATAAGACTCCGTTGAAATATGATCAATCTACGTGTTTACGAAAGGTGATTCCGTAAAAGCACTCAGACATAACGTAAACTTAAACTAAGCGAATCCCTCTTAATCTGCTCTAACTTAACTCGTCTTTACGGCAACTTCAAAAGCCACGTGAATTCACTCACGCTTATTACGAGCATTTACGACGTACATTAATGAAATATATTGATCATTAGATAAACATGGTTTTCGGATGTTGAGTGTTTGAGTGATCCTTCAAAATACGATATCAACAGGTAAACGTAAATTATGTATTGTTAAAATAATCTTTCATTTGTTTATCGTGAAGGTCGGGCCGTAGTTAAAATAATTTTAAAATAAGTTTCACTAATATATCACGTTTTAAACCGTTAAAGTGTATTTCAATGTGTACTACTCGTGACCACGGCTGCTGCAAAGCATCCGAAACGTCGGGCCGAAGTTAAACATCATTTTCAAATAAGTTTAACTAATATATCGCGTTTTAAACCGTTAAAGTGTTTTATTTAAATATTTTACATTGATTAGAAACTCGGTGGGTCCGATATGAATCGAACTCAATGCCCGCTAAGTATATCCTCTTCTAATTTTCAGTGTTTGTATTTTTTTTCATAATTACAATTACAATTGACAAAAACATATCGTTGACCTTGCACTAAATTAATAGATAAGTTTAAATTAAATGTGTCGACCTCAATTATTACACCTAGGTATACATAGCCTGTCACCTTAGTACACAATGGTTAAACGCATTGCCTTAATTTGTGTGATGACCTAGGTTCGCAAATTAAGAGGAATTGCTTCCCCATTTCTTCAATCGTGAATAATTAAAATCAATCTTAGAAACAGACACAAAATTGTTTCTGCCCCATAACCCACATCAAGGAAACAGTATATGACTTGCATTAAAAAAAAATACGACTATGACGTGTATGACACGGTAGCCGAATTGGTTAGAGCAACAGCACGGAACGCTGTAGATGCTAGTTCAAGTCTTACCAGAGTCGTAATTTTTTTCCAATCTAAACCTAATTTTATTTATGTATTTTAATTCTAAATAACATCTTTTTTTTGTTAATATGACATAAACAAACTATTTTTGAATACTGAAATACAGCCAGCATTCAACTATTCCATAGATCAAAATTACCCACTGTAATTTCCAGTATCTAAATAACACAGTATCGATGTTTGGCGCGAAATACTTAGTTAATTGGGAGTTATTACCTTGGCCACGATATTGAGAGGCGATAATATTTTACGCCAAGGGATTCAACCATAATTATATCTTGTTTGTATTTGTGGTAGGAATCCGCCGCTACATCGCCATTTGACTTGTCCAGCGTGAAATCCGGGTGATTGTGTATGTATGTGTCCCACATACTTTCACCTCTGCCTGAAAACAATGTTACGTAAAATACAACGCGGATTAAAATAAATGTAATTTATACGCGTATACAGGGGTATTATAAAAAATCGCAAACCTATTTTTCGAACATCGCCTAAGAATAAAAATGTAAATTTCAAACGAGATGTCTCCCCCCGGTTGCATTAGAAAATTTAATAGGAATCAACTTAATATATAAAAACCTTTTAATGTTGGTAATAATCAGGAATATCCGTACTTCGTACAATTATAATAAGCGAAAAACGTGCATTTTACACATGGTCGTAATAAGTTTAATGCCAAGGATATTATTATGAAATATTGTTGTTTATTTACGTGTTTTAGCAGGAAAAATACCCTTTCTATATCATATTTTACATTGTTCTTTTTTTAAAACATGGCAAATGCATTAGTATTGAATTAATTAAACCGTTATCACGGAAATACCGTTAAAAGTGTTTTATTTAAATGTGCACTACTCGCGTCAATAGACAATACAAAGCACAATAGAAGTTTAAAATGCATATGTTTTAATAAAATACTTTAAGGTTTAAAAGCATATATTATTACACTTGTGTGTAAATGTATACTACTTGCGTAAACTATAGACAGTGGATATATTTTTACACAATTTTTTTAAATGCTTAAACTGATAAAGAAGTAACTAAAAATTAATTATGTTATTTCATTTAATGTCTTAATAATTAAAATAACAATGTTCAGAGATCAAAAAAATCAACAGAGATCTCTGAACAACTCTTTTCTAACTTTACAACCAAAAAAGTAGGCAGTATATCGGATAATAGTTAATACCTCATATTAAACATTCGTTTTTTATAAATTAGAAATTAATTTGCTCTGATACGTAATACCTCATAACGTAATAGATTTGAACGAGAAACAATTATAGATACTACCACGCTCCTAACTCGCAAAACTGACCCCGTGTTTACACAGTATTGAACCAATATTGCCCTTTACCTCCGGCGTTCCATCCTCCTTCTATTTGAAATGCAGCCGTTGCAACTCCAAACATAAAATTGTCTGGAAACGAATAGTTGCTCAACCCAGAGCTTAGTAGCGCGTTCACTCCATCCGCTATAGATAGCAGGCTGAAATTTACAGTAATATCAGTAATCTGATTATTTCAGTGCGTCGCTTTTAAATTATTCTTTTTTTTAAAATGATAGAGGAGGAGAGACATTTAATCAAGATGCACTGTCGCCCTATTTTGGCTTTGGAGATTCGGGAATCCACAGACGGAAACCAAAACGCGATTAAACTTCGTTGCTACCATTAGACCGAAATAATTAATATTTAAGAACAAAAATTAAAATTTAAACATCACGTTTGATATTAAAATTTTGAATTCCGAATTACACTTGTTAAATAAACGAAGTATATTTCGCTCTAGCAATTCAAACAATGTGCAATTAATACAAAATAATAAGTCTGTTTGTAGCCTTGATGGATAATTGTCATTATGGAATGGTTTTAAGGTTGATAACGCGATTGTATGTTTGGTTGACTATAAAAAGTTATCGGTGTCTCACAATTAAAAATATATTAATAAATTAAATCCAAAATTTTATTTAAATTGTTTGGCACTGGGATAACTATAGCACAATGTAACACGGCACTGTTCACTTATAAATAAGGACATAGAACCTGAAACACGCTAGAAGAGCTCGACTCTGGGCGACTCTACTCAGGCTCTGCATTTTACAGACTAAACTAAGATAATGTCAATCAGACAGTTTAATTTAGCAGCAGCCAATATCGCGACCTTCGGGGTTCCCCTTAGACATTCTTCGTCTATCAATTGTGCTTCCTGACATTTTAAATTGATTTTTTTTCATCCACGTGCATGTATAGGGTTCCTTAATAGAATTTAAAAGGCTTAAGTTCTCAAACGCCCAAAATACGATGCTCTAGTTACTGTAACCAGATACCATTACTTAGGCCGCGAACTGGCCTATTTAATTATAATTCATTATTTTCGCTATTTTATATTTAGTATTTGTAGAAAAATAAGAATGTTTTTTTACGGACATTCTAAAGTCGGTGTGTTGTTAGTTAGTTTGAAAACTTTAATATTTTTCACATTACACATGATGACATTATATACATTTAAAATCGATTATAAATCAAACAAATTTCGACACGGGGAAGAATTGAGCCGGCATCCACACCTTTCCGAGCTGTTGCCTTCCGTGCCTACATTGCGAGGGAGGTGCATGTATCAGGTTGAAAAAATTCGACGATGACTCGTTGTGGATACCGGTTCAAATCCTGCCCGTGTCGTATTTTTTTTTAATGTATAATCCATTTTTAATTATTAGTTTGTTGCCAAGTAGTATAGTAGTAATAATATTAGTAGTACCCAATCTATGAGCAAGTTGTTGCTTATTCTTTTCGTTATACTAGACTTCCTAAAGCAATATTTTTCTATTATTAGCAGTAGGTAGATTTTACAATTGCACATAATATCACATCTGTGTAAAAATGACAGAGTTGACCATTTCTGGATATCGATGAGGATGTGGGGAGAATCCTACCCTACTTGGCAACAAGTTTTAATTATATATGGGGAATCCCGCGTCACATCTCAGTTATTTTGTAGAAACAGGTGGGATGTCCACTACCTATAAGATACAATTATCTATTACAATCTTAACGTAAATAATAGACATAAATGTAAGTACACTTAGTAATTAGACTTACATGTTTCAACGTGTTATTTAAGCCAAAATTATAACACTCCCATTTTGCCTTCTTAACGATTTCTTTGCAAAAAACATTTTTATGAACATGTTTTGAGAAAGTTGCATAGCCAGATGGTTTAACGTCACAGACTACGTCACTAACGTAACTAGAAGATTAAGGAAAATCCCTTAAAAGGATTCTATCATATTTGTGGGAAGATACTTTTTATCTACGCATAAGTACAAAAAAGTAGTACTTTTACAGTTAGACTTTTATGTTAAGAAGCTGAGGAAGTTGTTTGTAAAAATAAACAATATGATGGCCAAAATAACTATTCCAGGCGAACGAAGTCGCGGGAACAGCTAGTAAATTACACTACGACACTAGAAAGCCGGGTGCTACTGACACTCCCTCACGTGGGTCGAGAATAAATCAAAAGAAAGTGCTAAGGTAATGATTTATTTTAACTCTTTTGCTTACGATTGGCTTTCTTTGTACCCAGATCTAATTTGCATAATAATATTAAGGGCAATTTATGCGCAACCTCCTTTTTTTTTTTTTTTTAATACACCAGCTTGACTAAGCAGTAAGATATATTTAAACTTTAGATGGTAGAAGAATGCGCTATTTATAGGCTCGCGTGAAGTTATTTGTAAATTATTATTGAAGTATTTATTGATCCTTTTTTTTTGTTTTATGTATATATTGGTTTTTAAATTAGTCGAATTATTACGTATTCTTCAAACGATTAAAGTTACACTTTTTGTTATTAGAAATTTAAATATCTTTCGAAGTGATTATTTAAACTTTTTACAAACATGAAAGCCTTAAATGTTTGTGTTATCTAAGGTACGCAAATTTCATTTATCATTTCTAATAAAAAAAATCTTTAGTATAGCTATTTTTAACACAAGAATATACAATGACACCTTAGGCAAATAATATTAAAAAAAAACGAACATACGTAATAATTCAAAAAGTCATTGCCGTCAAATTACAAGTGAAATACACGAGAGGAGATAATATTTTACGACATAAATATTACTTTCGACATAAGGGTTCCCAATGGAATAGTTTTATAAGAGAACATAATATAGATTTGGAAGGCATCCAAAAAGTATTTTAATAAAACGTTGAATTCTGGTTGGCTCAGTAACTGATGTGAAATCTTCAAGTCTGTACTTTTACGCTGATTGAAGTTATATGAGAATTAAAATATCTAGAAAATATTTTAAATTTGGAACGAGCGAAAAACGTGTTAATGATAATTGAGAGTTATAATTACACTAGTTGAGCTAGCGACTTCGTCCGCGTAAAATAGTTATTTCCGACATCCAAATTTGTTTTTACAAACCTCCATCATCATCTTCATCTGAATAAATTTAAGCTGTTATCCACGACATCGGTGGCATTCCGTCGTTCTACCACGCAAAATTAAAAGATAGACATATAGTATTGCGGACCTATTTCTAGATCATTTAAAGAGGTATCATTATTTTTAAATCATTTTAAAAGGAATCACTATTTATACATATTTTTTGGATATATTGAACCGTCGCAGCGAAATCCCATAGAGATTAAAATATATTAGATTCGCCTATTTTTACCACATTTTACCAATATTTCTTTTCTTCTATTAGTCACGGCGCAATTTTTTATAGCCTTTCTCGATAATTGCTCTTACCAAGACAAAAACAAATGTTTCAATTAGGACAAATAAACTTTTCAACTGTATAAATTAGCATAGAAAAGAAGTTAACGTCTTTTATATTACAGATAATACAAACATTGATTTAATAAATATTAAAAACATGCTTGAAGATTAAATATTATAAATTCCAATCTTGCATTTTCGAACGGTAGACATGCAGATGGGCGGGTTCGCACCGATTTGCATCGGTTGCAAGACTAAGTTATGGTAATCGGGCTATAAGTTACAAGCTCTAGCTAGTAAGCTTTTCAATTTTATTAGAAAGACGATACCATACTTCAACCGTTAGGTTTATTCAAATTAATGATTTCTACTCGCATTAAATTCGAGATAACGCCGGGACTTAGATAATGTTATCAAATTTAATTTTTCACAGAACAATTTACCGCCGAAAGCGTCGTCGTCTGAAAAATAAACACAAGAGAGTACTTGAAGCATTCAGTTGCAGATTTGTATCGGGGTTACTACATCATTCTTTCTCAGGAAATAAACTTGTCATGAAACATGTAGCTATGTTTGCGAGCACTCGTGAGATTTATTGTGTTCTTGCCTATCACACCCTTACAATATAGCAGCTGACGTCGACTGCTTGTATTAATGTATTCTTTCATTTTGTCTTCGACAATGTTGTTTCGGAATGAAATTTTTAACAGTGCAATTCTACACGAAATCACTATTTCACTAGTGCTCATTATAAGCCGAAAAATCAGCCGTTGATTTTTTTTTATGATTGAGAAGAACGAACAGAGATAGGTGCACAGACTGAGACTGAAATGTGATTATACTTGACATCTATTTCATCTGTGACCCGGACGGAATTTCGATATTCGTACCTTCCGTCTAATATCAATCAGCTTTCCATACGAATATATTTCAGAAAAATTTTAAACTTATCAGAAACATCTTGGACGCTAACTAGAGATCGAACCCGCGACCCATTGATTGTTAGGGGTACATACACCAATAAGCCCTCCAAGGGTTTCAGATTTAAAGTTTTACAGTTCCAGTATACGCTATAATTTTTTTTTCCTCCTAGAACAATATAGGTTATGTTACTTTATTGTCTTAAAAGTAAAATAAGATTTTGGTTCCATTTTTGAGTGCTCAATATATTGTAAATATCATTCCATTCAGATATAGGTAGTTGTTCAAGTGAACATTAAATTCAATAGATCCAGTAAGATTATAAAGTTAGGAATATTATAGAGTAATCTATATTCACCAGATTTGATATTTGCAAATTGCAACGGCGACGTGGGTAATGCTTTGATTCTGTGAAATTCCCTTATCTAATGATATATGTAGGTGAAGAATATACGTTTGTTACAAATTGTTAATAGTAATAGAGCAAAATAGGTATTGGAAACCTCCTCGTCATTTTGATAAGTTTTAGCTTAATTTTAAATATTACCCACGACGTGGTCTGATTCCTGTCGTTCTTCAAGTTAAACTTAAAAGATAAATATATACTGTCGCGGACATTTTTTAGATTGTCTAAAAAGACATACAAATTTTTTGGGTATTGGAATCCCACAAATTTCGTCACATTTCGTCGCTCCTATTGGTCGTAGCGTGATGTTTTATAGCTTAATTTTTTCCTCGATAAATGCTCTAACCGACACAAATTGAATATTTTTGAAATTTGAACAAGTAGTTTCTGAGATTAGCGCGTTCAAACAAACTCTTTAGCTTTATAATATTAGTATAGACAATAATAATAATTTGAACAACAACATTTGTGTAAATATTTTACGAATTTATCGCAGGAAAATTTGCTGCGTATGCTGTAATGAAAAATTTATAACCCAATATTTCATAACGCGGTGACAGCAGCCACTAGATGGCAGATGCGACTTGCATTCAGTATATTCAAATAATCTGGGGTAGAACAATAATTTGGTAGATACGATTTACGTCTGGTGTTCGCAGATTTATTATCTTTTATTTATCACTTGGCAAGACGAAAACGGCTTGTTTTTTGAATTATGTAGTGTGCACTTTTTATTCCCATTACGCTAGGCCAGGGGTGCCGAACCACTGGCACGCGGTATAATATTTTCACTGCTCAATCACGTAGAAAGAATAGGCATTATATTACGTGATAACTAAAAAAATCGGAACCTTAAGTTGTAGTTAAAAAAAAGGTAAGTAAAATTTCGCGTTTAGAACCGTTATAAATGATTAAAAACGGTTTTGAACTTTATTTGAGTTCCTAAAATCCATTTCTATAATCTCATTTAAAAAATGGTAAGGCGATATATAAAAAATATATATACTTACCCTAAAGCAACAAAAATCGATAGA